ATTGGGAACTTAGTGGTATTGGAATACTTTAGTGAAAGTGTTGGGATACTTAGTGGTATTGGGATACTTTAGTGAAAGTATTGGGATACTTTTCTTGGAACAAAAGTATTCGAATACTTATCGAGGAGTATTCGAATACTTTTGGCAGAATGAGCCTAAAATCAATTCTAACAAGTTGGGAAGCCTTAAATACAATATAGGACCTTAATGAATCAGTGGGGACTTGTCTTAGAGGTGTTCAAGTGATAAAAATGAAATAACCCATTATCAAGGCTTTGGGAGAAACCTGTAATCATTAAACAAAAAAGGAAATGTTGTCCCTATGCAATGAAACTCTAGACTACGAATATTAATGATATCTCTGGCATAAACAGACTGTGCTTTTGCTGTTTGGTGAACCGTGGATTGCTAATTAGACTCTTGACTTTGGATTTTTAGCTTGCGAGGTAAGCTTTCGGGTCCTCGGTTTAGCCATTGTTGGTTCCACCATACCCCATGGAGGAATGGTTTATATGCATGATGTGTTTTCATCTATTGATTAATTGAAATGCTTTTGGGTTGTTAAGTGCAAATGCATTATGATATGTATGTCATGTTTCGCCTAAACGGTAAGCCTGAGTATGTAACATCATACAATATGGTGATCCTGTGGGCAGGTACGGCATGGGCGTGTACTATTGTGGGTTGTAGACGTACGTATATCCTGCATTTCTCTGGCCAGTAGGATCTTTAAAACATGACATGATTATATGCTAAATTGCACTGATTTCTGAATTTATACTGTTATACGGCTTTTTGAACTTATATTACACATGTAAGTGAGCTTGTGGTAGAGAGATCCTTGAGGACCCCTTGTCTTACTGAGATTTCTTTTTAAAGATCTCACACCACGTTTGGGGCACATTTTCAGGTTCAGGTAACTCGGGGGTTGATACCTCGGGCGGTAGGAGGCCGGAGCTTAGTTGACTGATGTATGCATGTTATGCAGATCTGCTTGGATGCTTATCTATGTTTGATTGTTATTATATTGTTATTTGAGCTGAGACTATGTTAGGCTTTGTTGCCTTATTTGGTGAGCATGAGGGTTGTCCATGCCACATTGTTTTGACTATGTTATTTAGACTTAAGTTTGTATAATCTATTAGGATACCGTCCGGTCTACATGTTGTAGTTCCGTGACTAGATACACATTTATTAATTGAGGCTATTCAGTTAGTTGTTTTATTGCAATTTACATACATGCATTATTTTGAAAAAGGATTAAGTAATCAACTTGGTTAATAATAATGACATCATAATTGAAAAGAAAAAGTAACTTCCGCATTTAATTGAGCTACGCTTAATACCGTAATAGGATAACAAATCCGGATGCATACAGGGAGTTACAGTAAAATCTTATGTCAAATTAAAGAACAAGATGTCTAGTATTGTCATAAAAATTTCAGAATAAACTGAGTTGGTTAAAATTTCAAGAAAAATATAGAAGTGTCTGTTGTCCTGTTTCTGACGATGGGTTTAAGCAATTTGCTTACGGCGAACATATCTTGAGTTATACTTATCAAAACGGAGCTTATAATACGTCATTGTAAAGCTTATGATATCTAGATTAAGATGGTGAAGTTTCAAAATCTAATAAGAGAAATTCAAGAAAAATGGTTTTAAGAGTTGAATAAATCACCTAAGTAAATTGGTAAATTAACATATAAATATTAATTGTTTGAATTGCAAGTGACACTTAATCAGTAATTGATAGTGCTTCATTTATGATACTAGAGTGTGTTCAGGAGCAAAATAGTGGGAATCAAGTTGTCTGTGAGTAAAGCTTCACATGTAAGCTCTTGGTTTTAAAATTTTCTCCGTCCTTGTTGTTCCGCCAAAGTTCATTAAGGATGATGGTTAAATTGTGTAAATGATTGACAGTGAGATATTTAGTATATATGCATACATATGCATTCATGTAGACAGATACATTGATGATGTGTTTAAATTATGTATAATGATATTGTGATGTGATATAACGCAAGTAGACATGTAAAAAGAGAGATGACGGAAGTATAAATCTTTCGTAGTAATAAAGGAGGATAGCGGAAGTACATATCTTCCGTAGTAAAAAGGATAAAGATGGATAACGAAAGTGTAAATCTTCCGTAGTATTAAGATTAACAAGAAAGTATGACGTAGGAAGTGATTGAGTAATTAAGACATAGAAAGGTGATTGAGTAATTAAGACGTAGAAATGGGTTCTTAGTTATATAATATATTTTTATTATTATTATCTGTATAAAAAGGCAGGAAAGAATAAATCTTTCGTATAAAAAGGCAGGGAAGAATAAATCTTCTATATAAAAAGGCAAGGAAGAATAAATCTTTCGTATATAAAAGCAGGGAAGTATAATCTTCCGTATTACAAAAGCGGGGAAGTATAAATCTTTCGTAATATAAAGCAGTGGGAAATAGGGGAGAATAAAGGCTTTCGAAACAGACAGTGAGATAAAGACAATAAGATACAGACAGTAAGATAAAGTCAGTGAGATACAGACAATAAGATAAAGACAGTAAGATACAGACAATAAGATAAAGTTAGTGAGATACAGACGGTAAGATAAAGTCAGTGAGATACATACAATAAAATAAAGTCAATGAGATAAAGACAGTAAGATATAGACAGTGAGATAAAGTCAGTGAAATACAGACAATGAGATAAAGTCAATAGGAAATATTAATAAAATTGCATGCTTTATTATATGCTTTATATCTGACCTTTCATGCAGAGAGTGAACTATTGGGTGGAGATTATTCCATAAACCCAGAGTCTTATTGGTATTCATTTATCACCCCTTCGTGGGGCTGTAATTTAAATTATAGGTACATCAAAATCAAAAAGCAGGAGAACTCGTAAATGGAAAAGGACCAGTTCAGTAAGGAAAGAGGAATTCTATATAGGTAAATGGGACTGTACAGATAGTTATAATAAATAGTAGAAGTTAATTGAAAGAAAAAAAGTTATACAGCGAAATTATATCGGGTAATTAGAAAATTTATTAAGTCTAATCTAGTTAGATGCATATCGTATGACCATATGTTAGTTAACAATCTGATTATTAAATTGGGGCGTTACATTTATAGTCACATACTATTACATAAAAAAAGATAAAAACATAATATAATTATATCTAATGAACTTATTGCGTGTTTTTCACTTTTATAAATTTAATTATATGCAATTAATTAATATCATATGAATGCGCATTTGTGCATTTGTTGGTATTTTTAAATGGGCATTTGTTGCATTTTTAAATAGGGGAATGATCCGTTTACAAACTTTTTTTTATAAATTTTTGCAAATTATATTATGTACTCTCGCGAGAACATAGTGTAGTTTGTAAACAAAAAAGTTTGTAAATATAACCCTCCCCTTTTAAATATGCAACAAATATTTTGTAATTTAATAAAAATAAAAATATTAAATTTAATTAATATTCTTCAATAAAAATGGATGCACATTTAAAAACTTTTAATTTTTTATCCACATTAAAAGCAATTTAACCATATCAATTACATTCAATATAAATCAATTGCATTTAATATTTCAAAGAAAAATATTGACTATCAAATTTATTTATTTTTGGTAAGAATTATCAAATTTATTAATATCTACATTAATAGCAATTTTTTTATCCACATTTTTTATAAGTTTAAAAGAATTTAATTATATCAAAGAAAAATATCAAATACCGCCTTTAATTTTTTTTTCCGGATTCTACCAGCATTCGAACCAGGATCAGCATGGTGTTGTCCTCCAACAAGCAACAACTACCACATTGACCACGAACCGCCTTTAATTTTTATCCACATTAAAAGTGATTTAACCATATTAATTATGGGAAAAATTATTCTCATGTTACATGAGATAAATTTTCTCTCTTACACACCCTTCGATAGTTATGCCACCTTTTTCTTTTCTTTTCTTTTATTTTTTCAGATGGTGAAGCTTACAAATTTATCTCTATGACACGAGATAACTATCTCCTTTAATATGAGATTAATAAAACCCATTTAATTATAGTGAACGCAAATAAATTTCATTTAATTATTTCAAAGAAAAGTATTAGATATGGCATTTAATTTATATCCACATTAAATTCACATTAAAAGCAATTGTTTATCCACATTTTTTAAAAATTTAAAATCATTGAATTATACCAAAAAAAATATATTAAAAACCGAATTTAAATTTTATCTACATTAAAAGAAATTTCACCATATTAATTTAATTCAATGCAAATTAAGTGCATTTAATATTTAAAAGCATATATTTTTTTTCAAAAAAATTACTTGTCGCTTTAAATTTATATCCACATTAAATGCACATTAAAAGAAATTTTTATCCAAGTTTTTTAAAATTTAAAATAATTTAATTATATATAAAAAATATTAAAACCAGCATTTAATTTTGATGACATTAAAAGAAATTTTACCATATTAATTATATTCAATGCAAATTAATTTCATTTAATATTTAAAAGCATTTTATTATGTAAAATTAAAATTAAAATATTTTATTCATGCGCATTAAGAGGAGTTTTTGATCTACATTTTTTTATAAATTTAAAGGAATTTATTTATATAAAAGAAAAATATTAAACACCGCATTCAATTTTTATCCACATTAAATGCAATATCACTATATTAATTACATTCAATGCAAATTAATTGCATTCAATGCGAGGCATTTACTGCGAGTACTCTAGATATTAAAAATAATTTAATTATTTTTATTAAATACTTTTAATTATTTTAAGAAAAAGATAAAAAAAAAATAGTTTAAAATATACTAAGCATTTTACTTTGTATTAAATACTTTTAATTTTCAATTTCTTTAAACTTGAATTAAATGTTATTTGCTGCCTATAAATTCTAAGAGATTCAATCTCTTTCTTCATATTATTGAAATATTCTCAACATTTTTCCTTGATTAGTGTCATTGGCTGTCTTTGACAATGTCGGATGAGGTGGTGTTGTTGGATTTCAATCTCAGTATGTTTGGTATAAGAGTTAGGATTGCACTGGCGGAGAAAGGAATCAAGTATGAACACAAGGAAGAGGATCTGGTGAACACCAAGAGTGCTCTGCTTCTACAAATGAACCCCATTCATAAGAAAATCCCTGTCCTTATCCATAATGGGAAACCAATTTGTGAATCCCTCATTATTGTTGAGTATATTGATGAGGTTTGGAAGGACAAAACTCCATTGTTGCCCACTGATCCATACCAAAGAGCTCAAGCCAGGTTTTGGGCTGATTTTGTTGATAAGAAGGCAAGTTCAAAATTTTTGTGCCTACATCACCAACTGTTGTTATGTATTATTGAATTTGTTTTATTCATAATCTTTTCAGCACCACATATCTAGCATTCATATTTTGGTAAGGAATATTATAATATATTTTTATCAATTAAACCTATCATTTGAGTTTAGAGTTGTTTATCTTATTCCATATATTAATTTGAACCAAACAGCTCTTATTCTAACTTGGGATATACCACCCTTAAACATGAGGTGTTTATTGTGAGTGAATTTGCTTCAATGTACAAGGAAGATGTTAATAGCAACTAACGGTAAATATGCAGGTGCATGAAGTTGCAAAGAAGATATGGACTGGGAAGGTAGGTGAGCATGAAAAAGACAAGGAGGAGTTAATAGTGAATTTGAAGCAATTGGAGGAGGTTCTTGGGGATAAGCCTTATTTTGGGGGTGACACATTTGGGTTTCTTGATGTTGCTTTCATCCCTTTCCATAAATGGTTTTATAGTTATGAGACGGTAGGAGAATTGAAGGTGGATTGCCCAAAACTCAATGCATGGGCAAAGAGATGTTTGCAGAGAGAAAGTGTGTCCAAATACCTTTCTGATGAAAAGGAGGTCTATGAGTTTGTTCTTAGCTATAGAAAAAAAATTGGGGTGGACTAAGATATAAAGAACCAGCTGAGAAGAATAAAATGCTATGTTTGGGGAGTTTATGTCCTGACAAATAAATGAGGAATATGTAGAAAAATTCCTTATTGAATGTGAAATAAAATGTTGTACTGTGACTTGAACTTGTCAGCTTGGATTAGCCGGGTTGAATATAATTGGACTTTCCTTTAATTTACTTATTTTGTATCTTCCCTTCTTAACTCTCTCTCTATATATGGAAAAATATTTCTCCAGTGAGTCGAAAACGACGTCGTTTTGGGTTGTAAGATTAAAAAATTATAACGATAAAGATTAATATAACCCTGCAATAAGTTAAAATTACAAAAATACCTTGATTTCTGCCATAAAACAACGTCGTTTTAGGCTCACCATAAATAATTTATCTTTATTGACTTGAAGAAATCATTTACCAATATATATATATATATATATATATATATATATATATATATATATATATATATATATATATATATTAAAAAGGGATACTTAAGATCATGGAATTCAAAAAAGAAGAAGAAGCAAATATACAAAAATATTTAGGCACAATCCAAAGTTTGCAAACAATGAGAAAAACTAAAAACAATTACCATTCTCAAGCTCATATGATGGTGGCGTGAAAGCTATAAGAAAATAGCAGAATACAAGAGGCAATAGCCTATTTGGCTTAGCTTATTTTTAACTTAACAGTTACTTAGAAATTATAATTAAAATTAAGAGCTTAAAAAATAAAATTTAAGTTCCTTGATGATTGTATGATATTTTTTTGGCTTACAAGTTGTTCTGCCTGAAGCAGATATGTCCGACAGAAGATCGGGTCTTTGATGTTGGATTTAGAGCTTTCTCTCTAGATACCTATGAATTAGGTATCTTGGGAACAACTGATCATTACACACTATATGATGGCTTTAGCCAAAAGGGGTGTGTGTGAGCACTGTCGTGTCTTGAATGAAATAGGGTTTGAGAGATCCGTCATACCTGTGGTCTTTAGCCTTATTCATAGGACTTACCTTTGGGCTGACGTTGGTTGGGCTTCATATTGCTGTGGGCCTTTCTCTGGTCCATAACAGTTGCCCCCAGCCCGGTAGACTGAGTCTTCAGGTTGCCGGGAAGTCCAGTCCGACTGTTATGCTTTAGTTCGGAATTTGGCCACCTGACTGATTTGTTACCTCGGCTCCCTTGTCTAGCCTTAAGAGAGAAGACTTCTCCTGGAAGTTATTCCTGGCCTCCGGATGTGAACCCGGATGCAAACACCAATGTCGGCAACGTGGAATATGATTATGCGTAACTGCCATCTGACGATTGCTCTGAAGTGAGAAACGGTTTCCCTTCCTTCTAATGATTATCCCTCCACGTGCCCTCTCCTAATAGGCGCGACGTGTGGCGTGGTGCGTTTCTCGCCGTCGTGGCATTTAATGCCTCTGCCAAAACGTCCCTCAACTGTATTGTCTACTGTAAAATTACCACAGTACCCCTGCCTTTTTGCTTTCGCGGGTTTAATCCTTTGATTTCAACATTTCACACCGCTTTCCTCACTTATCATTCATTTGCTTCTGTTGCTGTTCCGAATCGTTCCTGAAGCATTTTTTTTTCTTCGCTACTGAAGGGTTTCGTCCTACCAGAGCCTCTTCCTCCAGTATCTACCAGTTTCTGCAACACCTTCCTTCGTAGGTATTTTCTTTCACTCTGATTCTCTTTTCTGGCATGTTCTCCATTTACTTTCAAACAAAACCATGGCTGCTGGTTTTATAATGCCCTTTTTTACTCCAAGCTTATTTACTTGTCTGCTTCTCTATGTGATTTCACCTTATGCATTGGTCTTGCACTTTACATGAGCTTATTTGCACTTGGCTCACTCCTTACGCACCGTGCTTTGAATAGTTCCTGATATGGGTGAACAAAATTATGCTATTCAAGGGAGGCCCACTTGCCCCCGCGTCTTCGGTCGTGGTGATGAAATTGACGCTGAAGAGGAAGAATGATGTGCGCAAGAAGAGGAAAGGTTCATTCAAAGCATACCACCTGGTTCGAGGTACTAGTTATATGGCAGACCTCAGACCGAGGAAGAAACACAGGCTGCACTGCTAGGCGGCTATCGAGGTGGTGGCCGTAGGGGAGCCTCCTCATCTCGCTCCTCGATTCGTGGTCGTGGGAGGGGTTTTCGAGGTAGAAGGGTTTTCGGATCCTCCACCCGGGGTCGGGATGTTGAGCCCCGTAACATGGGCAACCCGTCCAGGGCAACTTCTCTTTCATTAGGTTCTACCCTGGTTCACACTATTACACCTTTTCGATCTCCAAATCAGAGTGTGAGAGTCCCCTCCCGTCCTAACATTCCCAACCCTGAGCCTTGTTTCAATTGTGTATACCTTGGTGCCCAATTTGTGGAGAGGGGGAATGACTTCATGGCCAATCTAGTTTTAGGTAGTTGTACACACGTTCCGAGTTCACCAACCCCTGCTCCTGTCTCCACATCGATGATTCTAGTTCCTCTGATAGTAGTTTGTTTAGCTCGGGTACGTATTCCTATTGCTACGTGCTATTGTTGCTTTTTAATCCTCCATTTTACTGTTCCAGGTATTTATGGAGTCCCATTCTACAGAATCAAATACGAATATCGCTTCTTCCAACCAGGGCCCAGAGGTCGGGGCGAGTACCGCAGAGAAGGGTCCGAAGTCAGTAACCGATAATCTTCATGCCCAATATCCCTGGGTTACGGAAGAAGTGCTGAGTTTTACCTCAGAGATGACCACCGAAGAAGTGTTCGGGCTTCCCTTAGGCAACCCGGTTGACTTCATTCTTTTTTCTTCTACCGAGATCTGGTGACGAAGATTGTGATTCGATTTCCTTTTTCTTCTTTCAAGGTGCAACTTCTAAACCACCTGCTGCTCGCACCAACCCAGATCCATCCCAACGGCTGGGCTTATATTGTTGCCTTCGAACAGCTCTGCGACTCGTTGTCCCTTCCTTGTACCGTGCCTTTGTTTTTTCATTTCTTTACTGCTTATACCTCGCGGACCGGCTCAAAACCTCCTGAACTGAAGGGGTGGAGCAGCATCCGAGGTCGAGTTAGTAATCCCTCCCGCAAGCTGTTCTCTGTATACAGCGAATCTTTAAGGGCTTCAAGGTTTTTTTTTTTAAAGTAGTGGTTGAGGTTGGAAAGAGGCCATGGTTCATTGGCGATGATGGGGAGCCGAAGTTCCCCCTGTACTGGACGCAAGATCATCATCGACGCAAGCCATCCGACTATAAATTAAAACTGACACAAGCCGATAAGACTAATGCCAAGATCGTACTGGATCATGTGGGCTCCCAGGGTCATCTGAGCGCAGCTTCTTTTGTAGCCAGATCTCATTCTTCCCCAGAGCCTACTCCAGAACCCGCCAGTATGCTGTGCTTCCCATCTCGATACGTGTATTATTTTCATGTTATTGTTTATAATTTGACTTGTTTTTCTTTGCAGATTCCGAAATGAATTTCGATGAAGAAGATAAGGGGCCAGGTCCGGGCTACATCTTGTCTATAACCGGTCAAACCTCTGCTCCGCAAGCTCCCCCGAACAAGAGGCCCCAGACAGGAAGCCCAGCGAGGACCGCTTCTACTTTGCCCGTGAATTCCGATGTCTCCATCTTGGACCTTACTGGGGATGCTGAAGACACCGAGGCTGACAGGATTCCTCATCCTCCAACCTCGATTAGTGGGGGCGGAACTCATGCCGTCGTTACTCTTCCCCGGGGTTCTCTCGCTCCCGAAGCACTCCCAGCCGGGTTGAGGAGAGGTCCTTTATGGGATTCAGGGATAATAGCCGAATTCTGGGGCGTCATCCGTCCCCCGCTCGCATACTACGGATCCAAGATCATTTCTAGAGCCGAGATGGAGGAGCTCCAGAAGGCAGAGCTGTACACCCTCAAAGCTGCTTCCATGAGAAGCATTCCGAGGCCATTACCGAGCTGGACGAGCTTCGGGTGAGGTATGGAAAAGCTGTGCTTGTCAACGAAGAGCTAACAAACAGCTCTGCTGAACTAAAAGCTGTTGTGGAGACTTCCCAATCTGAGCTGAAGTCTATTGCCAAAGCTGTTGGTGTTACCCCTGGAAAGGATAATATTTTGAAGTATTTTAAAGATCAATCCGACGTGCTGGCTGAACGGAGTGTGAGAGTATCCGGTCTAACCGCCGAGGTTGAAAAAATAAAGTCAGATCTCCAAAATTTGCAGCAAGCCTATGATTTTAGCCAGTCTGCTCTGCAGAAGGCAGCAATGAGTGCTTTTAAAAATGGGGTAAACCAGGTGAGGTATTTTAACCCGGAATATCCTCTGCGGCTTGATCAGCTTGATTGCTTTGGCTATGTTCGCGGCGGGGTTTACTATCCTCCTCCTCCATCAATTCCCAGTATGCCAGAAAGTAGCACAGCTCAAACAAAGGTTACACAAGGGGCTGCGGAGACCAGAATTGATGCTGCCATGGAGGCCGATGGTGCCGAGTTTGAGGCGGAGGTAAGAGGGATGATGTAGGTGGATGCTTCGGGGTGAAGAGCCGGGATTCCGGTTTACTTTGTAACTTTTTTGCTTTCCAATCAATTTGAAAACTCTGCTTGTCTAACCAAACATGTTTAATTAATATGGAAATTTTGCCTTTATCCTTGTTAATATTTGTAATTTATGCATGCCGGTATTTGTTGTTCAACAAACCTTCTCTTTTAAGGATGTTAGGGAAGTAAGGGCGTCCCCTTAAGTCCCTTCTCAATCCGGTAGGCCGACACGAATGTTTTGATCCAACTTCCCGTAGGCAAGTTGGCCAACTATCGCAATGTTTGCGGCCGGGCCAGAACCTTCCGCCCGTAGGCTAGAAGGTTCAAATACCTCGACAATCTGGCCGGGCCGGAACCTCTGCCCGTAGGCTAAAGGGTTCCAATACCTCGACAATCTGGCCGAGCTAGAACCTTCTGCCCGTAGGCTAGAAGGTTCAAATACCTCGACGTTTTTGGCCGGGCTAGAACC